AGTTCTTAAGCATACTACATGCGTGAGTACACGAAATCAACAAACAAGCACGACAAACACACACCAAAGGTAGGCACATGAGGGGGGGGGTAGCATATATATATATATATACATATATATATATATATGAGCCCCATCCCCTTCAAAGTGCCAGTCGTGCCAAGCGCCGGATGCTGAAGCGAGAATTCGGTCCTACGAGTTGGTGAGGTTTTTGGGCCTTGGGGTTGTTTTATTTGGGGTGCTTTCGGCAGTTAACAGATCCTTAGCCCGAACCCAAAGAGCCCAAAATGCATCTGCCCCTAAACCCTAAACCCTAAACCCTATACCCTAAACCCTAAACCCTGAACCCTAAACCCTAAACCCTAAACCCAAATCTCTAGGAAACCTCTGAAGGTGCGCAGCCGTGGTCTGCCGCGGACCTGCAGCTGGGAGTCGAGGCCCAGCCACCGGGCTCTGAGGTGTCGGAGTGTGGAGTTAGGGTTTAGGGCTTAGGGTTTAGGGTTTAGGGTTTAGGGTTTAGGGTTTAGGGTTAGGGTTTAGGAGTTAGGGTTTAGGAGTTAGGATTTCTGGCTGTGGGGGTTTAGTCCAGGGCAGTTTGCGGTGAAAGGGGTTTGGGGTTGTCTTCCATTGGGTTTGTACGCCATTTTGAGGTTCTAGAGCTATCGGCTGTGAAGCCCTGTAGGATCCGGTAGGGCTTCTGGAATTCAGGTTTTATGGCCTTTGGTGGATATGTTGGTGTTTCGAGGTAGTGTAGCTAGATGCTTTTGATCTAAAAAGTAAGGTTTTGTTTGGTCGGGGGGGCTGGGGTTCGGTGCTTCAAAGTTTGCTTGGCCCTTCACACCTTCAGCAATCTAGGGAGCAGTTGACTCGGGAGTAGTGGAAGGCGCCTTTAAGGCAGGGTTTTTGCCTCTCATGGCCTCATGGCCTGTCGAATCCTGCTCCCAAACCCTTCTGCCAGTCCAACCCCATTCTATCCGCAACCTCACTCGCGCCCGCCTTTCTACACTGGTTTCTGAACTTCACAAACCAGCCCTGCTCTGCCAAACTTCCTAACGTTCGTTGGACTTGCCGCTGCACCAGGAAGGGCAAAGACCTGGAGTCGCAGCTCAAGGCACCCGTCGTGTCTCTTGCCGGTGCAACCAGAAGTCCTGTTTGGGATGGCAAACCCTGGCAGAGGTACCACGACCCTGAACCTCGAAACCCTAAACCCCAAACCCTTCAAACCTTCCTCTCTGTCCGTAGTGAGCCACCTTCGGAGGTACGCATAGGGGGAGCAATCCCTGCTCCCTCCTGATCCCTACCCGCTTCTCAGGCAGAGTCTCGAGCTGAAGTTGTTTTCCCTTGACGATCCATACCTACTTTCGCTTTCGTAGACGGATGACGATCATTATCATGATGCTGATGACGAAAATCATGACGATAATGAGGATGAATGGTGACGACGGCCTGCGACGTGGATGGTTCTTATTATCACACATACTATCATGCATTTGCTGACCTTATGATCGTGAACATGTTGGCCATGTTTATGATTACGATACTGAGTAGAATCACGTCCACCTGCTGGTCTTATTCCCACTCGTTCTACCACTACCACTGCGAATGCGACTACAACTCGCCAAGACGGCGACGGCGATCGGGACGACTATCACTACCACTCTCCGTAGACAGTAGCTGCGGGCTATTGCAGGAAGCGGAGGCCGCCACTCAAGCTTTGGAGGTACCAAGGGGATGCGGGTTGTGGGCTCTGCTGGCTACAGGATTTCGGGTACTTGTCCGGTTGAGTAGTCCAAGGCATGCTCAACGGTTTGCGGACAGAGTTTTGCAGCTTTGTGGCATGTGGCCGTGGTTCGTGGTCTTGGTAACCGGATTCCCGGTTCCCTTGTGTGGGGGCATGCCGAATCAATGCCGATCCGAGTATGAAGAAAGACTCAGTCCTAAGGATTCGGTGAAGCAGTCTTAGTGTGAGGGATTCGGTGCAGGATGAAGGATACCATGTTCGGATGCATGTACACAGGTCACGTGCATGCAGGAAGAAGTCCAAGTGGATCACCGTCGCTACAAGAGATCCCTTGAAACGATTTGGGGAACCCTAAACCCTAAACCCTAAACCCTAAATCCCTTGACATGATTTGTGGCGAGACGGCTCGAAGCCCTCGAGGCCAAGCTACGCGATGCTCTGCGCCGCAAGGCTGAGAAGGCAGAGAAGGCCGGCACCTGGTGGAAGACTTTGCCCCACTAACCCCTAAACCCTAAACCCTAAACCCTAAGGACCGGGAGGCTTGATGCTGTGGAAAGTGGATGTTGCGACAGCTTGAGGACGAGCTACGGGGTTCAATCCTGTTGGGCAGCACGGTGTTTAGTAGTCAGGATTCAGACGCATAGCGGGAAGTTCCAAGGGTTGAGGCTAGGGCCTGTTAGTTCCAGCTGTTTAGCTATATTGATTCCAATTGTACAGTGTCTTTGATGCTCGGAATTTCTGGGATGAAGCCAAGCCTGTTCGGCATGATGAACTTCTTGTTGGTCTTTCAAGATAAAGGCATAGCTCAACTCACGCACAGATCCGGTGATCCCAGCTACTGGAGGCACCCCTCTAGTTAGAAGGAGCTCAGAATGCCATCTTGGATCGCACTAACCCGGAGTAGCGTGGAGGAAGTTGTTCTCCATGTGGGCACTGGATTGTACCTGCACTAAACTAAATTATCGAAGTTCGCAAAGCACTGAAAAACCTCGAATCATCCACAAGATGAGCAAAGTACGTGTAGCAAGCGTTCGTTTCATGGAGTTTTCCAGTTTCAGGGAACGTCTGTTCCAAGGCGGCGCAGCTGCTGCGGCCGCCGGAGGGCGCTGAGACCTCGGAGGTTTCCGCTAGGAGTTCGATGCTTGAGGATTGGCGGATGCTCGATTCCCATGTAGTGCCACTGGGAACCAAATTCAAGAAGCTGGAGACAAGGTGGTGCTGGGATGGCTATCATGGGCCCACCTTAGTCGGTGTCGTAATGCAGGTGTTGCGCATGTCCTTTGAGAAGCTGGCATGCAAACAAGCATCCCTGTTATTCAAGGTTTCTTGGGGTGAAGGCTTTTCTTGAACTGTACATCGACATTGGGCATGTTTCGACGGGGAATGTGCTTGCAGATGTCAACATCCGCCTTGTAAGGCAAGTCCGTTGCACTTCCTGTAATAGTTGAAAGCCGACACATACTTGGGACACCACACGGAGGTCGATGAAGACCGCCTCCATCCGGAGCGGCAGCTCTCCGATTCAGACTCCATGCCCCCGGCCTGCATTTAAGGGTTTCGTTGGGCATTGTCGAGATTGACCCCTAGGAATCGTGCTTGCATCGGCATCGTCATAGCCATCCTAGGAATCGTGCTTGCATCGGCATCGTCATAGCCATCGCGCCTGTTGAGCATCCCTCTTGTGGTCTTCCGTCCGAGCGGGCCTAAGGCCCGGATTAGTTAAACTAGCATCCTGGTACCATCTACCCGAGGCTGCCAAAGTATCTGCCGGCAAATCCGCTGGGAGATGAAGCCTTGGCCAAGTGGGCACAGCACGTCCTGCACGAAAAAGAAAAAGGACACGGGATCGGTGCTGAGATAGGATGCCTTTTGGGTCCCCTTGGTCATTGATACTTCCCCTTCTTCGACTGAAGTCTTCAGTGGCCCTTGGCCTTTTTGTGTGAAGGGGGCAAGGTACGAACACTCCGAAGGTCCATCACAGGTATGTCCAGCGTGAAACTTTCTGAGGTAGTCAAAACTTCATGCAGAAGACCGTTTATGCATACACGCATGTGCAACACGTACAAGCACAAAGGCTGATATGGCAACTGTGATACACAATGCTGTTGACAGAAAGACGTTCAGACACGGGTATGATAAACAAGCATGAATGCGAGCAGGCAGGTCCGGAGCTGAGAATCCCAACTTTTCCATGTCTTGTCCGAAAGCCGCTCATCAGTCGAGTTACTTGTACCAGTACGACTACAAGATGACCCTGCCGGTGTCTGGTGATTCTTCAGAGGCTGCTAGGTTTTGTACGTGTTGTTTAGGCACATACATATGTATATATATATATATATATATATGGTACCCCCCCCCATGTGCCTACCTTCCTCTCTCATTTAACTCGACTTGGACCTCAACCAGCCACCTGGTGTCCAGGGTCTGGGGTTCTGGGAGCTTCATGATCATCTAGCTTTCTGGCATCAGGAGCATCTTTGTATGCCGTCATGAGCATCG